AAAAATTAAATAAATAAATAAATAAAGACTATGGCCTGAAGCATCTCCTTTCTTCTCTCATGTTTTTCCTAGACCCCAAATTGCAGGATATCATTTTCAGTGTTACCTTCTTTGCCCTTTCCTTAGTGAAATGAAAAGGGACTCATCTTCTAAAAATAATCTGATTTGTTAGTAACTTTTCTTAGGATTGTAAAGAAACCCTCAACAGATATGATGCTATAATGAAATTTTATTGCTTTCAGAAGCTTATGTCGTAAATTCAAATATGTACACCAAGTTTGGCAGTTCCAACAATAGGAAGGATTCTTTTATCTTTGAACTGAGCTCAAAATAAAATAACATACATTGCGTGTGTAGATTCTGGATGAAGTAGAGAAGAGAAGAGAAATGTCTCCTGCCCTTGTTTATCCATTCATGCGAAGTGTCATGGAAGCTCCTTTCCCAGCTCCTGGACGTACCATCACAGTTAAGAGCTACCTCCCTGGGGCTGGAGATGGGGTAAGTTAGCTCATTTTGAAAAGATTTCATAGCTACCAGAGAGCAGGCCTTGTACTATAGGGAGAGTTTCCAGGAACTTAAAGAAATAGTTTCCCCTTTTCATAAACTGTAAATAATACTTTTATTCCCATAAAGCACTGGAAAATATCCAATTGTTCTGAAATAGTTGAACCTCAACTCAAGACCCAAAGTAATCCTAGATTAGATTAGATCCCTCTGTAGTGACAATTTCAGTGCTATAAATGATGATTATCCATGTTATTTTCAGATGGAATAAAGTTTTGACCAGAAATTTATAGCAAAAAAAAAAAAAGCTATAGGATCTTAGAATTAGTGTAGACAATTTCACAAACATTTTGTAGCAGGCCCTATTTCTGGAACTTAACTTGAGAGTATCTATTAGTGTTGCCATTATGGGTTGTTTTCCAACATCAGCTTTCCTGATTCAAATTCTTGCATTTCAGTCAATTGAACTCTGCCGACCACTAGATTCAAGATTGGAACATGTGGACTTTGAATGCCTTTTTAAGTGTCTGAGCGTGTGTCATCTCATCCGGGTCTGTGCTTCTCTCCTCTTAGAGCGGAGGGTAATATTTGTTGCTAACAGCCTAAGGTAAGAAATAAATGAAAAATGTTAGTTTACCTTGGTGCTTATTCTTTTGTTTTTTACATTTCTTCATTTTTTGCTGTTGTTGTTCTTTCTATTTTAAAACTTGGGCATATTTTAAAAAATCTAAAATAAGCCTCTCAGTTACCTAATGCTGTAGAGACATGAATAATTCCAAATGCTAACTAGATAGCCATTTACATTAGTCTATAACAATGACATTTTTGGGTTAATAGATTTCCTTTCAAAATGAATTTTTGCTTAAACTGTCGTTAAAGATTTGTATTACTAGTCTGGTTCTTGCCTGTGGTTCTCATCTATTTGAGAAAGTAAGGCAGGAGGATCACTTGAGTCCAGAACTTCAAGGCCAGCCTTGACAACAACATAGCAAGACTCAACTCTCAAACACCAACTACAAAAATAAAAAAAATTTAAAAAAATTAGTATTGCTTTTCTATTTGCACACTAATTTTTAGCTTGATATTTTTGGGAACATTTATATAATATAATATCAACATAATATATATATATATATATGTTGATATATAATATCAACATAATAGGTTGATATTAAATATTTTCAGTAAATTAGAATTTTGAAAGAATGACAAAAATTAATGAGTATTCACCAAGTTGTAACCAGCCTCTGTTTGTAATTCTTGAACATAATGTCTAGAACACCTTCCCTGAGTTGCTCTGAGTGTAACAACATTTGCTTTCTCCTCTGTCTAGCACCCTCTCGAAATGTGGCCATGCTGTAGTTGCTACACTGTATCCATTCACCTGGCAGCACACCTACATCCCAGTCCTGCCAGCATCTATGATTGACATTGTGTGCTCGCCTACTCCATTCCTCATTGGAATCCTGTCTTGCTCCTTACCACAGCTCCAGGATCTACCCATTGAAGAGGTAAGATGGAATAAGTGGTACCTGTGAAAAATCTGAGAGCACTGACAAATGAAACTAAGTGCTCTTGAAGAATGGTAGAATTATTAATATATTACGCTGTCATATTTAAGACCAATACAAAAACTACCCTTGGTTAACTTTAAAAATTGTTTAAAATATAATAAGATTGATTACATATGTATCTATAAGTGCCCTAAACAAAATACACAGCACAATGAATTGTCACAAAGTGAATGAACACTTCCATAACATGGCATTGGAATGGAATGTCACATTATAGTCATGGAGTTAGTGTCAGCACCCTAGAAGTCTCCAGCATGCCTTCTTCTAATCTCTGATCCCTTCCCCATTCCACACAAAAGGTCACCACAATCTTGACTTTTATAGTATTCATTTACTTGGGTTTTTTCGTAGGCATGCATCCTTAAACAGTATAATACAGCTTTGCTTATTTTTAATCTTGATATAAATGGATTCATATAGTATAGTTTTTGTCTGACTTCTTTTGCTCAATATTTTATGTATCAGATTCATTCATATTAATGAGTTTAACATTAGTTGGGTCATTCAGATTGTGTATAGTGTTCTATTGTGTGAATTGACCACAATTTTCTCATCCATTCTATAGTTGATGAACATTTGAATTGTTTTCAGCTTGACATTATTATGAATAATCCTACTATAGACATTTTTACACATGACCCTTGGCACACACATGCATTCAGTTATATGGGTATATGCTTGGAAATTCATTTACTTGGAAACTGAAGATATGGTAAGCATATTTTCAGCTTCAATAAATAAAGTAAAACTGTTTACTAAAATAGATGTGCCAATTTAAACTCCCTCCAATAGTGTATGAGAGTTCCTATTGCTCCATGTCCTTGTCAACACTATCATTAGTTTGTGTAATTTAATGTTATCTGGTGGGTGGGTAATATTCTTCTCACTTTAGTTCAATTTACATTCCTTGATTATTATCAGGATATGTTTACTGGCTATCTGAATATCAACTTTTATAAAACGTATTGTCTATCTTTCCACTGGATTACTTATCTTCTTACTGCTTTGTAAGGTGTCTGTATGTGTGGTGCCGGGGATGGAACCCAGGGCCACACACACGCTAAGTGGCACTCCACCAGTGAGCTACACCCCCAGCCTTGATGCGTTTTTATGTTCTGGAAACCAATATCTTTGAGGCTTGCCTTTTCACTTTCCAAAATGATGTGTGTTTTTTGTTTGTTTTCTTTTTTGTTTTGTTTTAATCCCTCCCCCCTGTTCCCATACCAGGGATTTAACCCAGGAATGCTTTACCACTAAGCTACATCCCCAGCCCTTTTTAGTTTTCATTTTGAGACAGGGTCCTGCTAAATTGTTGAGGTAGGCCTCAAACTTGGTGATCTTCCTACCTTGGCCTCTGAGTTGCTGGGATTACAGGTGTGTGCCACTGTGCCCATCTAATCCACCGGGTATTTTTACTTTTTTGTATACAATATAAGGTAGGGTCATTTCATTTTTTCCCCCTCTTGGTATGGATAACCACCTGTTCCAGTACCACTTATTGAAAAGACTGTTCTTACCCTACTAATCTGTTGCCTTAACCCTTTTTAAGTCTCTTTTAGTCTATAAATATACATGCCATTATTATTAATAGTTTTGCAATCTGTTGTTTTGATGGATTAATTTAAATGGGCTACAACTTCAAGACAATTCTGTTTGAAACTATTCTCACCCCTCCTGATCTAGCAGTGCCTAATGTATTTGCCTGTGAATGTGTCTCTGGTTAAACTTGCCTGACTCCTTTATTCCATAGGTGCTGATAGTTGATCTCTGTGCAGACAAGTTCTTACAGGAGGTGAGTGACAAGGAGGTGATTACATGTTTGGGATATAGAATTCTCTGTAGATAATTAGACAGAAAATATGTGAAAGTACTTAGAGAACATGACTCAGCCAAAAGTTTTAGTTCCTACCCACACTTGAATTGACATTGTGGCCACTCAGACAAGATTGACCTGAAAAATTTTGGCGTAGGTTTATAGCTATCTATCCCAAAGAAGGAAGGAGGAAACAGAATAAATAATAAATTCCATTCTCAAAAGAAGTAATCATCCTTCAACTCCAGATGAGTTGACAGAAAGCTCTAATTTAATTAAATTTAAAAAGCACCTTTTAGGCTGGGAATGTAGCTTGGCGTTAGAGTGCTTGACTAATATTCATGAGGCCTGGGTTCAACAGCACCACAAAAAATGAAAGAGAGAAAGAGAGAGAGAGAGAGAGTCTTTGTTAAGCACTGATTATTTCTAGATACTCTGTTAAGCAGTTTGAATATAAAGATATCTAAGACAAGTTTGAGTCCTCAGGTCTTATAGACTAAGCGGGGATACATATTTGTAAAGTTTTAGAAATATAAATAAAAATTCCAGCTGGGTGTAGTTGCACACACCAATAACCCTGATTGTTTGGGAGGCTGAGGCAGGAGGATCACAAGTTCAAGACCAGCCTGGGCAACATAGTTAGATCCTGTGTTAAAATAAAAAATAGAAAGGGTTTGGGATGTAGCTCAATGGTA